GAATTGCAGATGAACAGGGAAAGTTGGTACTGTACAGGTAGTCCCCACTTAAGAACAAGTTCCGTTCCCAAGGTCTGTCCTTAAGTCTAATTTTTATATAAGCCGGAACAGTTGTATTGTCTAATATTGTGTAAGTAATATCGTGTAATGAACTCAAATCATTGTGTATTTAACTTGAATTTTGCTACAATAGGCTCCATTCTTAACTATGGGTCGCCTGTAACATGGGCGTTCTTAACCCAGGGACTACCTGTATAGGGGATTGCAGCTCCTGGGAGGGGGGTGTTAGATACATATAATTATATTGGCAAGCTGGATTCATACAACACTGGGCAGCATGTAGTGTGAACATGTTAATCCAGTCAGTACTCGAACATGAAAGCAATGTTCCCTCTAATTTCTGACATGCTGCATGCAGAGAAAAATGGTTTTGTGCAGCTTTTCACAAACCAAATACAATTTGTGCACGATGCAAATATATGAGTAAATTGCAAATACATGTAATAGTGACATGTTAAAATGTTTACATATTTCTTAATCTAGGGAGTATAATAGTATGTCACACACATGCTTAAAAGTTATGCTTTCAGGTCATTATTGATTCCAAGTGACTGTCCCCAGCAGTTTTCTTGGCAGCATATTTCAGATGTAGCTTGCCAGCACCTTCTTTTCCAGGCCAAGAGAAATGGCTGCCCAGGGTCACCCAGCTGGGTCTATGCCTAAGTGGAACTAGAATTCAAGAGTCTCCTGGTTTCTATCCTGATGCCTTAACTTAAACATCAAACTGGCTCTACACATAGAGGCTTATAGCTTATAATATAAACTCACTAGTCACTGATAACTGATAATTGAAATCAATTTTTGTAAGCATTTTTTTTCTTTTTGGAATTTGATATGGGCGGGAAGGAAGGAAGGAAGGAAGGAGGGAAGCATTATACAAAAAACATTTAGATAGGCCCTTCTCTTTCATTTTTTCCCCATACTTTCCTTCTCTGGATATATTCTGAACATATTTAACTTTAATTATTATTAATTTTAAAAATGAAATGTTTATAATGTTAACAACAATCATGGACCTTGTCCAACCCAAAACTCAACAGGTATTAATGAAGCCCTTTTTGGGAGGGAGGAGGATCAAAGGGGTCTATCAGGAGCCACTTCTCAGTACAGAGCAGGGCAGTAGCAGGCAGGAGGCTCCGGGTTGGTGCCTGGTGTGTCTTTAGCTGGACCCAATCCAGAGCAGGTGAGCTGCAAGGCTGGAAGAGGACTGCCTGCCTGCTGTCCCAGGCAAAAGGTGGTGCCAAGTGACCCTTGCCGCTGCAGTTCACCTGAGGCAGCAAGCTTAGGCAGTTTTATGATGCCTAAATTTATTCTTATTATTTTGGAAGAACTTAATTTTGTCTGCGCTCAATTTTTTTTATCATGTGTATGGGTTTGACAAATAATGTACGTACAGACCTTAGAGGGAACATAGCATGAGAGAGCCAGTATTAGTGTAAAATTGTACCAAAGCAATTGTGAGTCAAACTTTCTTTCCTCCATCAGTCATGTTGGGCAAAACGAAAACTCCAATAACTTGTGGGACAATGTTCAAGCCCTCCAACTGGTCCTTTAAAAAAAAAAAGGTGGACTTATAGAAGTGCTAGAAAACACAATGCTCCATTATGGGACTCCCTGCTAAAGGCTGGTGTCCTCAGGTCATGATGGCCAAACACCAGTGTCTGCTATTCCCAACCCACATCACTGTTAGCCATCTAGCTAATGAGGAGACCCTTGATATATTGAAGCCTCCACTGTCTGGATATCAAGCAGGATTAGAGATAGTTAAGTGAGAACTCTTCCTTTAAAAAGTGACCTAGTTATATATGTGATTGTGCGTTTCAGATCCAATAAACAGGAGCTATCACAATGTTAAAAGTTCACAGAATCAAGTATATTGCATGATCCAGATCAGTGAGTAGTAAAATACCCTCAAATAACCATTGATTATATACTTTAATACTATACATACATTTGGATCTAAATTTATTCATATTTAGAATAGACCCATTACAATCAGTGGGGCATGCTTTAGTTTTAACTAAATTAAACCTTTTTAAGTTCAAAAGTTCTACTTTATGTCTGGGTTTGTAAGATTACATATGGGGGGAAAAACCCTAGCAGGATGTGCCAATTAAAACCAAGCATTAGCAGCTGGAGTCAATCCATAGTAATAATAATATTAATGTTAACCAAAAAAGCAGTTAATCTTATTTATTGTGTTATGAAATCTCCTGGATTTAGGATCCCCTGCTTTTTATTTATATAATATGATACATGTAAAGTTTACTGTATTTATTTTCTTTATTTTAAAGTAATATAGTCAAAATGTTTTAAAAAGGCAAATTTTAGTGACTGATTTTTACTTGCTGTTAAAGACATACTGTACTGTTTAGACATCTGACCATTTAAACAAAATGGTTGCACCAATTGTGTTGCCCTAACTAGAACATTTGAAGAGCTTGCAAATCAACTTGTTTGGTGTCGTAGTTAAAGGCACCAGGCTAAAAACTTGGAGACTGTGAGTTCTAGTCCTGCTTTAGGCATGAAAGCCAGATGGGTGACTTTGGCCAGTCACTCACTCTCAGGTCTAGGAAAAAAGCAATGGCAAACCACTTCTGAAAATCTTTCCAAGAAAACTGTGCGGACTAGTCCAGCTGGTTGCCAGGAGTCAACACTGACTTGAAGGTACACACACACACAGTCAACTTGAAATTGGAATACCCCCTTTCTTTCTCTATTTTTCTTGTTCAGCAATTGGATAGTTAGAGCTCATTTCTTGCAGCAGATATTAAAAAAAAAATACTGCAATACATTGCAATATTTTAACAGTGCTAGAAAAATGTATGTTTTCCTTAGCTGGTGCTATGATTAATTTTATTATTAAAGGAAGATGGTTCATTGGTGTAGAGATGCCTAGTGAATCTTGTTTTTGAAATATTAACCAGCAACATAGCTCTCTCTCCCACAATATCCTATATGGATTTTTTAAAAATTAATCCTTAGAAAACTCTTTTTAAGAAGGGTGAAGTGAAAGCTTTAATTGCCCCACGCTAAGCTATGCCTGAAGCTATAAAGTTCATTTCTGAACTTTACATTACGTTGCTTACTGTGAAAGGGAATAGTGTGATATAGAGGTATGGGAACTTTATGGGGGAAATCCAGTATCTCTGTTTAGCAGCTTCCCTGTCAGATTCCTTGCCAACTTTTTAATCAACAGTAAGTAGCAGAGTTCAGCAATGCTCTCCAGGATTGATATAGGTTTGTAAGTATAGGCTATTATCACTCAACACATTAGAGTATGTGTATATATTTATATATATTTCTACCTTTGAGTCAGCATTGACTCCAGACCACTGCCTAGACTAGTCACTGCAGTTTCCTTGGTAAGGTTTTTCAGAAGTAGTTTGCCACTGCCTCCTTCCTAGGGTTGAAAGAGAGTGATTGGCCCTAAGGTGGGACTAGAACTCATGGCCTCCCAGTTTCTAGCCTGATGCCTTAACCACTACACCAAACTGGCTCCTAGAGTATGCGTACAGCACTATTTTACTCTCCACCTCATCTAGTCACAAGTGGCTCTTTAACCAAACTTCGTGGTTTACTGTGCTCTCCAAACCCCAAACAATTGCCATTTTGGCTTTTAGAAATTGGAAAGCAGAAATGCAATCTATGACAAACAGTTCAGTTGCCAGAAACAAAAACAACAGCTGTTTGAGGCATAGAAGGTACAGTAAGCCATGAAACTTGATTAAGAGGCCATGCACAACAGTGGATAAAATTGAGGCAGACACTAACCAAGGTTTTTAGTTGCAATGCAATAACTAGTGCATGATCATCCAAGATATACTACTCTCAATTTAAAGATTCAGATTTTTTGTTATCACATGTTAATAGCTGTTGTTAAATCTCTTTCCCAGTTTGTCCAGTCCTGCTTTCTCCACCTTGGTTCCTTCATGTGTGAAACCTCTATCCACTCATCCCTGTCCAAGCCTGCATCCTCCCTGGGGATTATGGGAATTGAAGTCCAAAGCATCTGAAGGGTAACAGATGAGAAACCATGATTTAAGGCCTTTTTCAAAATCATGAATTGGTAGTTATAATTACATCCTATTACCCCAGTAGCCCTTATCCTAGTCAACATTACTTTGGTTCACTAACAAATGTATTGCTGTGTAGGATTTATAGCACACTATTGTTTGTTTGGCTTTCCCCAACCCGGCGGCTCCCACATGGGAAGGATTTCAACTTCCATAGCCTCTGCAAGGCATGGCTCTTTGGTCTGCCATTGGTTTGGCAGATTAAGTGCCAAGCGTTCTCTCCATTAATTCAAAGCCCTCTTCTGTTTGTTTCACAATAATCCTACGTTTAACAGCTATTTTACTGTGTAAGTTACCTCAACTTTTAGGGGGGGGGGGGGAAAGAATACAAACGTTTTGAGCAAACCCACAATTTGCCAGATGGCAAGGAAATACACTACCGACAGTTAAGAGGATCGCGTATTTTTCTCCCAAGCGGGCGGCCAGCTGCTATCTATCCCGCCCCCTCCGCACCGGAGCAACTCGCTGAACGTTTCCCCAACATTAGAGGCCCCAACCGCCTCAGCCTTCCGAACAAAGGAAGGCAAAGGCTACGTGTCCGGCCGCGCACCGTGAGCTGGACGGATCCCATCCGTGCAATAACCCAGCGCGGGGGAGAAGGGCTGGGAATGTGCCTTCCTCTGCCTTCCTCGGACGCGACCCGTGCTAATGGCAAGAGAGTTCCGCCAGAGGACGACGTGCCTGGGCCTCCCCAGCGCAAGGGGTAGGAGCAACCCGCTCCTGGGGCAAAGCCAGCCCGCACCTCCGCCTCAGCGTGGCTCTTCCCTCCTCCCTCCCCGCTCACTAGTCTGCCTTCTTTCCCCAAAGGCCCCTCCTAATCCCTCGCTCCTCGCCGCGGGAGGCCCTAAGCTGCCTTTTCAGGCCCTTTCCTCGGCGCGCTCTGGCTCTCGGCTCTTTCAATGCCTCTCCCTGGCAGGAGACGTGTTGGACAAGTGGAGGGATCCGTCCCCCGCCAGCAAGGTCAAGGTGCGCTTAAAGGCAGCTTCTTCCCTCGGCTGGGCGGCGGGCGCCGATGGGCCAGCTTTGAAGGGGCGCAGGAACAATGTGCGGGTTTGTTCCCATCGCCACTACCAGCTTTCCTTCGCTTTCACCCTCAACCTATCCGGGAAACCAGACCGGCCTCCTGGCCCCAGATGGGCCACCAAGGCATCTCCCCATGACACTCTGCCCACTTTCTGGGAAAGTCTTTTGCCCCGATCTTCTTACCGCAGGGATACTGGTGGCTACCACCAGCCTCTTTTTCGCTATGCATTCAACAGCTGGCAACATCTCCTGACATGGAAATGAGGTGATGGGAAAACCTTCTGGTGCTGGGACAGCTCCTAAGTTTGCAATACAGGGAAAAGGTCCAGCCTCATGTGAGCCAATGGATGGATGGGTGATGGATAGATAAGATAGATATTTGTCACTGTTTATGACAGTCCCACAGGTCTTGCAAATCCTCTGCCCCATATCAAGATATGCATGCTATGGTGGCTGGTGTGGGTCTTCCGGGCTGTGTGGCCGTGGTCTTGAAGTTTTGTTTCCTAACGTTTCGCCAGCACCTGTGACCGGCATCTTCAGAGTGCAGGAGCCCAGACAGAGAGAACTGCTCCTGTCTGGGCTCCTACACTCTGAAGAAGCCGGTCACAGGTGCTGGCGAAACATTAGGAAACAAAACTTCAGGACCACGGCCACACAGCCCAGAAGACCCACACCAGCCATCGTATGCCGGCCGTGAAAGCCTTAGCCCAGACAGGAGCAGTTCTCTCTGTCTGGGCTCCTGCACTCTGAAGATGCCGGTCACAGGTGCTGGCGAAACGTTAGGAAACAAAACTTCAAGACCACGGCCACACAGCCCAGAAGACCCACACCAGCCATCGTATGCCGGCCGTGAAAGCCTTCAACAATACATATGCATGCTATGATTGAACCAGACAACAGCTGAGAAGAACTGTCCTCCAAGCTAACAATCCATGGTGCATTTATTGTATAATAATAATAATAGCAGTGATGACAACAACAATGCATTAAAGCTGTTTCTGCAACTTCCCCCCAGGCCCATAATAACAAAAAGCTTCAGGAATCATTTTTGTTCTGTAGCCATCTATTAAGTCAATTACAACAACCACAAAAGTTGTGGCACATCAAATTTAACACATGTCTAAAAGCATTCCACAATAAATGTTTTTGTAACATATTTCAAGTGTGAAAGACTTCCCATGTAGTAATCCATATGCAACAACCTTGTTAAGCAGATTGCTATTATTATTCTCTGTGCCACAGATTTGGGTGAACGAGTGAGACATCTGTAATCATATTGTTTCTGCTTGCTGCTACTGCTCCACCAGCTGGAATTTGAGGTTGCTCTCCTTGTAGAGGACATGATAACTTGCTATCCTGACTGAGAAAGAGAAACATGTGAGATAAATTGTCACCAGCACCACTTCCCTTTGCTGAGACTAGTCCATCAACAGGACGAGAATCTGCACTTTTGCTGTTGGTTCAAGAAGGGTGATGTTTAAGAATGTCTTAAATATGCAAAATTAATAGTAACGTATTTCCTTGTAAGTGCAAATTCCGCAGCCTTGGAATAAAGAGGAAAAAAGGAAAGCAAGGTTTGTGCAATTCTGATTTTGAAGCAAGATAAATAGGAGTACCAAGAAAATGTGAATATTCATTATTTTAGCTTCTTTCATTTCCACTTTCCAGTTTCCATTTAGATCAGGGATGCACAGTCTAAGATTCCAGGGCTCCAGAAGCCTTAGGTATGGCTACTAGAACCACTCCAAAAAGTACTGTACCACCAAATTGTACTTTTGATGCGATGAGAAATTATTAAATACGTGGAGAGTAATCATATTAGCTATTTATTTAATTGAAATCAAAATTAATTTTTGTCTTGGTTTCAGTATTCTTTGGAGTATTGCCTCCCACATGCTGTTCAAGTGCAACCCTCCAGCACAAATTTTATTCCCTCCCCCCAACTAATATTGGGAGCCTTTTTCAGAACAAGGTGTGTACTTTGTCTAACTAAATCCATGATAGATATAACTATGTTATAGATATTGACTGGCCGCTCCTTTGTTGAAGCGTTTCTTACTGGGATGAAATGACTAGAAGGTAGGTCCCAATAGGTAAGAAATTATTGGAGATCTTGAACATTTTGAATAAGAGAGCTATCAGCTTAGAAGATAATTCAGCCCTTGTCTTCAGCTGTATGTGCAATTAAAAAGAAGCAATCGGAACACTGAGCTGGATCCAGATGTAGGTATGTAACTGTGATTAAGAAATTGGCTTTTTTGCCCCTTCTTTCCCATGGCAGTTCCTTCAGTCATCCTCTCCTGCTAAATGAGGTAAGGTGGG